GGTGACACAGCAGATGGGGATAAGTTGAGTTTCAGAGGAAACACAGTAAAGGAAACTAGCACTGCCAGTGCTCTCTTGACTCTTCTCCCTTCCTTAGAGCTACTTACAAGTGAACTCTTTAAACAGCTAAAATTGCATCTTTTATTTATTTTTAATTTGGGAACTAAAATGAAGTGAGGTCAGATTGGTTATTGATCAGTCTCGTTTTAGAGTCAAAAGTAGACTTTCTGGGTTCTTTGTTGGCCTGTCTGCCAACTCACAGAATAGTCCTCAAACCAGCAAAACATTAAAGAGAGAGAGAGAGAGAGAGAGAAGCAGGAACTTTTGCCCTGGTCTCTGATGGTTTGCCTAAATCTTCTCTGTACTGGCCCTGTCACCTTCAGGCCTACTGATCTGCACAGGTGGGACCTTTTCCATTTTCTTCATGATAATAAGAATTTCATAGATTTCCAAAGGAAGCCATGAGATCTCTTCTACCAACCTTGGACAAAGTTTGGGTATGCTCACTAACCATGTTCAGGGAACTTTGGACCAGAGCGGCTGGCCCCAAACCTGGTCCTAGGTGATGTCTGGTTTCAGGATACAAAGCCTTGGGATCTCTGTCTTTCCCCTGACTCCTGAATGGGTTTGACACCCAGCACATAAAGTAGAGTCATTTAGCTGGAGGCAGTGAGGACCGAGAGCTCAAATCCTGGTTCTACTACAAATCGAGGTATGAGTTACAGCATGTATCCCTCTCTGGTTCACAAAATATGAGTTTTTACAGGATCAACAGTATTTAAAACTATTTTAGTAGACACAATGGACACTTCAAGGTGTGCCAAGAGTCACCAAAAAAGGCAAATTTAAATGGACAGGAGCTTGTGCCTACTCACTTCCTACTGTAGCAGACTGCCTTATCTATACTTGCTGGGTTTTCCTATGATTCTTTTTTTGTTTTTGGTGGTGCTAGGGTATTAAACCCAGAGCCTTAAACATACTAGGCAAATGTGCTCTCACTGAGCCACACCTCCAGCCCTTTCTATCAGATTTTATTAGGAATAAATCATTCTGTGTTTAAATGTGTTTGAAAAATACCCATCACCCCCACCATACACACACATGCACACAAACACATACACACACATATGCATACACATATATACATACATACCAGTTCTTCCAAAAGAAATAAGTAAAATGAACAAGACATTATTTCTCCAGTAATATGCCCATGCTAGATGATAGATCTGGGACATGGTAAGGAAATTAACTAAGAAAATAATTTTCTCACTCATTCACACTTTCAAACATCCCATGACATATGAATCATTGGTGTCAGGAGAGCCAGTGTGCCAACTTTGGCCTCTGGAGCTGCTGGAAAAGGGAGCAAAATCTTAATAGAAGCATTTTGCTTCTCTGAAATACATATATTTGGGTATATATGAATATTTTTTATTATCTATATCTATGTGGAAAAGCTATTTCAAATTCTTTTGAGCACATAGTTATGGATGGGGTTACAAACTTTTTTAGATACCATTTTCTTTTTCTACCTATTTCTAATTTTCCATAGTTCTCCTTATATCCTGAGAATCTGAGACTAGAAGGTCCTGTTCCCAAAACCTCCAGCCTGATTTCTTACCCTCAGTCTCTGCTTTCCAGCTTGATTGAACTACAGTGCCCTAGGAATAAATGAGGACTAAACTAGAATGTGAGGTTGGGGTGTGAGTGCTGAGAGGTAGAATTCATAGGACATGGGTAATTGTGTGTGTGGGTGTGTAGGATTATAGGATTACTGCAGGAGAAGCCAAGATGGATATAAGTACCAAGAGTAAATCATGACTAATGACCATAGGTGCTGGAGCAGTCTCCCAAGTTAAAAAGAGTGAAGGAGAAGCAATTTTGGAGGAAAAGAAGTAGAGTAACTGATAGAACTAAGTACCAAAGGAGTCAGAAGGAGGTCTTTAAGAATCTGGAACCCATGGGCAAAATCCTATGGAGGGCAAAGGACACCCCTCTCCTGTTAGAGTGCCTAGATGAGACAGGACAAGAGAAAATTATGGTTGATGGCAGAAGAACGGGAAAGGGGCATATATATTGATTTATTCTGAGTTCTCAGTAAAAGATGATTCTTAGGGAGGGGTAGGCTAGGTTGGGAGGAAGGAGAGCTAATTTAGATCAGGCAATGCATTAAAGTGTTTTGCAATGTGTGGTCCAATTATATCAGAATCATTAGGGAGAACATGTTAATAATGTGAATGACTGTGTTGACCCTCAAACTACTAAATCAGAATTTCTGGGAATAATTTTTTATGCTCTTCCCAGTGACTTTTTTTGGTTTTTGGCTTTTGAAACAAGATGTTGCTATTTTGCCCAGGGTGGCTTTGAACTAGTGATCCTCCTATCCTGTCCTGCAAAATAGCTAAGGTTACAGATATGCACCACTATGCCCAACCCCAGGTGATGATTCTTATGTCTATTAATGTTTGACACTCACTCTAATTGATAATCTCCTTGGGATGATGAAACTTAATATCTGTTTCCCCAAAGGGTTTCCCAGGCCTTTGAATGTTTCTTCCCTCCTGGCTCCATATCCTGGTTTTCCATGAAAAATAGAGAAAGCAAGGTTTCCCTGGGCACATTCAGCTTTCTTAAGGCATACAATCAGGTCCCACTGTGCCCTAAGGCTGACTTTTGTTCATGTGGAGATTGAGACCAGTACTTTTCTTAGTAGGCTGCAGAGCCCTTTAGCAAGACCAGGCATCTTGGAGTTCAAGAGAGTCTGGGTTTTAACCTACCCTACATTAGATCATTAGATAGGGTCTTTCTCCATTTTTTAGAACAGGAATTCCTGCCTAGCTCACAGTACTATTGGGAAGAGGGAATGAGGTCTTGTATAAGAAAGTTTCTTTAGCTCTGCCATCTTTCATCTCTTCATCAGTAAAAGAGCGTATCAGCATCCTTGAACTGCAGCATTGCAGGATTCCTTCTTGTCTCACATGACTTTCAGAAAGGGACTGAACTTTGATTGTATAATAAAAGCCTCATTTCTGAAGACCACTTCAGGTCAGAAACAATTCTGGATTATTTTAACTATATCCCAGGTATTCTTCACATATTATTTGGCTGATAGTCATGACTATCCTAGGAGGTGGAAAAAAAAAAAGAAAATTGACATGTTTGTATTGCAGACAAGCAGGTGGTCCCTCAAAGCAGATGGGTAGTTGGTAGTAGAACCTAGTTAAAACCTGAGTCTTTCTGAGTCCACAGCCAGAGAATATTATCTGGATACAAATCTGGTCACTTGGGAACTTTCAATTTTGTGTTCTGTTATTAAATGTCCAGAAAGTTGAGCATTGCAAAGGACAGAGTGAATAATTGATGTGGAATTATGGAAGGGAATAATTCTGACTTTGGTGGTCTGAGAAAGCTGATTGGAAAAGATGAGATTTAAAATTTTAAGTGGGCACGGGGCATTGTGTGTGTGTGTGTGTAACGTGAAGGATGCCTGTGGGGTCAGTTGGAGAGTCGAGTGAGCACGTCATCATAAGCAAAGGTGATGTGGTAGGATACTTCTACTTACAGTTAGGGAAGTAAGTGGTCTCATAGGTAGTGTAAAAAGTGTGCAAAAGAACACGTACAGAAATATTGCAAGACCAGATGTGGGAGGCCTCAAATGCCATGCTATGCAGGGAGTCCAGTGGTAATGGCATCCAACAAAGGGCTGGAGGCAGAAAGGTTAGGCTTCCTTGGGAGTTTTCCAACTGTTCAACACAGCAGGTCTATGGGGTCCCCTGCCACTGATTCCTACTCCTAGCCAGAATCCTTTTGTAAAGGTTGCAAGGCCCTCTCTGCAGGGATCGTCTTGCAAAAGAGCATCCTTCCTGCCTGTTGCCTGGGTTGAGCAAGAGGCTGGACGCAGGATGAGGAAGCAGCAGCTGTGAGTCAGTCTGCCCCCACGCAGGCTCCAGCCCCAGGCTTGGGGCCCCAGCTGGGATGGGAGCTCTTGCCTGGTTGCATTTGCTGAATACGGACTGTACAGCCAAGTGTGGCTCAGAGCTGCCCTGACTCACTGGGAACAATCTGAGCTCCTCATGCCCGTCATGGCTTCCATTTTTCTTTTTCTTCCTCCTGCCCCTTCTCTTCCTTTGTCTCCTATTCTTTCTTTTCTTTTTTTTTTAATTCCTTCTGTTTTTCCCTTTTTCATTCGCATCCTTTCATTACCTATACTTTAATTATTTTCAATTTGATTCAGGAGTCCTAGGTTCTAGATCAGACCATCAGTGACTCATTATGTGAGTTTAGGCTCACTCATTTTCTCCATGCCTCAATTTCTCCAACTGTCCAATGAAGTAATATGATTGGATAGTGTTGTTCCTGAACCTTCTCTCCCTTTCATAGATTTACTAAATGGCAGTGCTCACAAGATTCTTAGCATTTATTTATGGTCATGGGTCTAGACCCTGGCTGCTTACTTAAAAAGCTGCTAAGAAATTCAGTTGCCCAGACCACCATAACAGAGCAATGCCTGGGAGTACAAAATTTTATTTTTTCAAAAAGCTCCCTGAGGTGATTCTACTATGCAACCAGGGTGAAGAATTATTGTATTTGAAGCAGCTGCCTTTTGGTAATGGTAGACACTGAGGCACAGGGGCACAGAGCTGGGAAGGGACATGTCCAGAGTCACACAGTAAGTCAGTGCAGACAGAACCAGAACTAAGTCTCTTATCATCCTTTGGCTTTGTTTTGAATCACCTTAAGCAAATGCCATGGCCTCTGGTGGAGCCAGGCAGGGGAGCTGCATCCTGACTCTGCCAGAGCCTGGCGTAGAGGCAAGGCCCAGACACAGCCCCATTAAGCCCAGGCAGTGCCTTACGGGAATTGCTCCTGGCTCCAGCTTAGAAAACAAACAGAGTGCTTTGGTTTTCTTTGGCTGTATCCTGGGGTTGGGGAGCTAAGAGGGGAGCACCTGAGGACGCAGGTTTGCTGCTCTTCTCTGAGGCAAAGTGGGCTGCCAAATGCGAGGAGGAGTAGACAGGTGGGCAGAATTTGTGGGGGTGAGTCAGGAGCGTTTGCCTCCCATAGCAGCTGCCAAAAGGCTGCCTGAGAATGCACCCCACACAGAGGCCAGTGCCTACATGGGAGAGAATAGGGCACTGAACCTCAACTTGGGTGGCAACTCAAGTGAAGCCTGTACCTTGACCTGTCTCCACATAGACCGTCAAGTGTATCCCAGTTCCAAGCTTTCCTCCCAGACATTTGCTGTAGTGGAAAGAGACCTTGCTTGGGATTTTAGTTGTAGCTGCTTTTCATTAAGTGCTCCCTATGTCCCAGACACTATGAAAAGATTTTAATACTTATACAGCTCTCACGTGCATTCTTCAGTGCTCAATGCAGTAGGAATGATGAGTTTACTCACACCCCAGGAAATGGGATCACAGAAATTAAGTTCACTGCCCCAGGTATACAGCCCTAAGTGTCCATTACATCAAACTCAGGTCGCCTGATTCCAAAGCTCAGCCTCAGCCACTATGCAAGACTGTTTTCATATGAATCAGCAGACTCCCCACTCCTTTCATGACAGTCCATGTGACTTAAGACAAGTTAGTTGATCTCTTTGATCCTCAGGTTTTTCCTCTGTAAATTGATGCTTACACTACCTGTTTCCCACGATGGGTGTGAGGACCAAATGAAAGTTGAACATGAATGGGGTTAGTAAATAACAGAGAGATATACAAATGTAAGAGATTATTTCTGTTATCACCAAACACAGCTGTGTCCATACATGGGGAACCACCATCCCATATGCATACACCTGTCCATACTTGTGACCTTGGCCATCCCCGGCAACCTCCTTTGTTCCCAAGGACTCAGGTAGAGGAATGGAAGGGGAGAGAGAAAATAATAAAGGATCTGTTTATAAAATACTTCACATCTCCCAGATGAAAGCTTCTAGATAAATATCAGAATGCCACATAAATAAAACATAAATGGAATAATATTATTTCTATCCCCTTCAGCTGGCATTCCTGTAGACACTCTCTTAGAAGCTGAAGGCAGTTAGGTGAAATACAAAGGGCAAGGTCTTTGGGGTTGGTGACAAGATTTCAGCTCTTGCTCCTTTCATGTATTGGTTGCAGGACCTAGGGGCTAGTTACTTAGGTTTTCTGAGTCTCAGTTTCCTCATCAGACTTGTAAATTATATATATACATATATATATGTATGTATGTTTACATATATACATATGTATATATGTATATATATATACATGTGTATAAATATATACACATACATGTGTTCAAATATATACAAACATATGTCACCTTGTTGCAATACCAATTAAACAAGTTTCTGCATATATCTCTGGTATAGGAGGTATGGGACCCATCAACCTAGATACTATTTACCTCTTTGCATTCCTGGCTTTCTCATTCTTCTGAAAATTTCAAATGCAATAGCTATATTTCATTTTCTGATGATAGCATATGCTCCATAAATGTCCTTTCTTCTGTAGCTTTCTCATAGTCACTCTGTTTTCATGCTCCTAGGTCAGAATTCAGATCCATTTGTGTTTATAACTCAATATATTACTCAATTGGAACAGAAAGCACAGAAATCAAGACCCCTGACATTCTGTGATATGCAGACTCTGTAACTTATTAATTGTCTGATCTTGGACAAATCAGGACACATATTTGTGACTCAACTTCTCTATCTCTGAAGTGAGAACAATGTCCTTTCTATTATTTCTAGATGTTTTCTGGGAGGACATAATAAGATCTTGGCAGTGAAAATGCTTTGCAAACTGTACACATTTGGAAAGCAGAAATGAATGTCATTTATGCTAGTAACTTGCTATATATCAAATAGGTATATTCAGTTTGGGTGTCATTTCTACTAAGCTCTGAGTATCCAAATTCTGGATTCCTTTCACACTATCATCTAAGAACCAACGTTTTCAGTCTTCACTACTGGATTGAAAAACTCAGGGCATCAGCCATCCCTGCTAGTCCCAAGTCGCTGTCATTATCTCCTTGCTGACTTCTCCTATAACTTTACAATCAGAGAATCTGAAACACTGCTCAACTGTAAGTCAGGAGACCAGAAGTTGGGTCTGTACCTTGAGTCCAGTATCCTACTCTGTAACTCAACCTATTATAGTGTAAAAGTGAAGATATTCCACTTGAAAATAATCTTCAGCTCTCACATGGTTGGCACTTTGTTACTTCATAAGGTTATAAAACAACAGAGACTCAGAAAGGTACAAATGGTTTTCCCAAGACCACTGAGCAAATAAGTCTATTTTGCTGCTAGAATTGTTTTATTTATCCTTTTCTTCTGTTGCCTAGGAAAAGTGGTTGGCCTGCATTCTATATTCAGAAAATGTTTGTTCAATACATTCTGACATGAATTATATGCAAATTTGCTGAATTTTTTTCCTGCTATAAACTTTTCATTTTAAGATTTTAACTGGATTTTAAGATTGTATTTGTTTATAAAACTTCTTAAGCCATAGTTTTAAATAAGTTTCCTTCAGAGCTTAAGTGATCTGTGACTAGATTTTAGTGGATGACAAGCTGTTCAATGAAATAGCTGATGGCTGGGAGGGGTTTGGCTACACTTTCATGGCCTTCCTCCCATCTCGATCCATATAGGATATATATGCATAAGGTTTTATGATGGTGGATTTTACTGCTTTGAAAATGTTTGGAAAATGACTGCCTTAGGGTAATGAGAAGGAATTGGGATATTCCCAAATGAGGTGCTGAATATAGAATGATGGATGCTTGTGAAGACTTCTACCCATAGTTGAATCTCCAGTTTTTAGAGCATCACTTTCTATATAAACCTTAATGGCTGTTACACAACCCTTTACAGAATTACACAAACCCACTGGCACACAGTCTCAGCTAGGGGCTAAAAACTCTGTCCTCTCTCAAACTCTGTTTTCCTGAGGATAGCCCATGGCCCCAGGCAGGCGGCCCCCATGCCAAGTCTGGCATCCCTAATTGTGAGTTGGCACATCTGGGCACTTGGCCTAACTCTGAGCCAGGAGCTGCTGGTGCAGTCCAAGAACACCACTGAGAAGCTGGAAGCAACTGTCCCAGGGACTGTGGAGGAGTTGGGTCTATCCATGTTTTCTAAGGCAGGCAGGGGAGCAGGTAGCTAGGCCAGGAGTGACCTGGCCATTGGCAATCTCAATAAGGGTCTTCTGGCTCAATTTCCAAAATAAGCTAGGCAGAATGTTTCTGCAGCTGGGAAGATTAGGGAATCCCTCTAAGGCCTTTTTTATTCTTCATGACTTTTTATGTCCTTAAAACAGCCACAAAAAATGTCTCTCATTTTCATCTTCTTTGCCATGTTTTCCATTGATTTGGCTCCTGGAAAACTGCTGTTGTGTTTGCTCCTGTGGTCTAGAGTCCTGGCCCCCAATGCCTAATCCAAAGTGTGACCTTTGGTGTTAGAAGTATATGATCTGTGTGCCCTTACTGTATTCCAGTGTAAACTAGAATCTCTAAGAACTATCCACCAAACAACTCATCATGGACAAAAATGTGTAGTTGTCAGAAATGTGACAGAAGCACACGAAATCTGTGTAAATAGAACGACCAAGTCACCCTTTCTTCTTTTTCTGGGATGTGTAAACATAGCTAAGCACCTGTAAAACAGAATGAAATAAAAGGGTAAGCCCTACCACTATTATGTCTGACACACATGTCCTTTGTCAGTGAAGATTTTTTTGATGCTAAATATCTTTTTGGCCAGCTGGGTGGATGTTGTTATCACAAGGTGACTCATTTGGTTAGACATAGAAGGTTTTGGGGTTGTTCCTATCTCTACCCCAAATATCTAGGGACACTCCATTTTTCATTCAGATGTGTTGCTTCTCCCCAGACACTTCATATTCCTTAGTATGATTGCCTCAGTGCAAATTTCAAGGTTGATTCATCACAAAATACTAGAATGTCAGCCATGAAGTGTCCATAGAGAGTTTTGAGTGCAACCCCCTTAGTCTAAAAATGAGGTCCTTTTGGCAGCCTCTTCCAAAGAATGACTTCAGGGAATTTGGACATTGCTAACTTGTGTCCTGTTCTCTCTGTTAGAACTATACTATACCGTGTTCTAATGGCAGAACACTCACAGGCTTCAGTCATCTACCTTAGCTCATGTTGGCTTTGTGAAGGACAATGACAAGGTTTGAATTCCTGTCCTTATCAGTGCTTGTCCACTAGCTCGGCAGAAGATACCAACAGAAACTTCATGAGCATCATCTTGACGTCACAGAGAGTTCTGGGGCCAGCAAGGAGCTGAGAAACTTCTATCAGCTCCAAATTCACATGAGAGGAAAACAAAATTCCATCATAATGTTGACCATCTGTGGATGAGAATGCTTTTTCAAGAGAGGCCACGGAGCGGGGATAAGGAAAATAAAAACTATTGTCTTAAGGGAACATAATTTGAAAGGGATCACTGGTTCAACTAAGCAACACAGGGTATGACAGCAGTGCATTATCCTATCTTGCAGAACTTCTGGTTTTTAACCAATATTAAGCTGCTTTTCAAGTGGCAATTTTTTTAAAAAATTATGACTATCAGTAATAGTCATTAGATTGCTTTTATGCTATAATCTCCAAAGCTATGAGTATGAAGAGCCCCCTCATTTCCTTTCAATCTTTTCTATGCAGCAAAAAAACTTGCAGATGGTCTTTAGGGTTATTATCTAGTAGCTAATCTTCAGTTTAAAATAGACCCCCAAATGCTATATTTCTGTGTAACACAGACATTATATGACTTTTTGGACTGGATCATTCAAAATGTGAACATCAGGGTTATTTATTCACAAAATAATAGTCTTAAAACAACACTTTGATAAATAGGGCTGATGATATTCTTCAATAATACCAAAATATTATTGATGTTTCCCAGAACATATAACTTGATTTTGTTCATACTTTTAAAATTATATATATTTTGGTGGTACTAGGATTTGAAGTCAGGGCCTCTTACTTGCTAAGAGGGTGCTCTACCTCTTGAGCCATAATCTCAGCCCTTTTTGCTTTGGTTATTTTTGAGATAGGGCCTAGCATTCATTTTTGCTTGGGCTGGCCTGCACCATGATCCTCTTATGCTTCTGTGTAACTGAGATGACAGGCACACACCATCACACTCTGCTCTTTTCTGT